TTAGTAAAGCAGCCCCATCACGTTCCACGATTCAAGGAATTCAATCGAAAACGGTTGAACGACGAAGAGTAATGGCAGCAGTTAAATAAGGCAGTTTTCATGACAAGCTGGTCATTATGAGGAAAGTGGGCAGTTGCAGAACGATCAAACAGTTTTTAGGCGGTTGATCACAAAGAGATCGTCCATGAAGTATAAAAGGGAGAAAAGACATAGAGCAAAGGACCGAATAAAAAACTCTCGAACAGAGAACATGTAATTTTAATTTCCTTAGCTTAGACTTAAACACTTTTTTCCGTAACTCGTGTGCTTGCGCCCCTTGGAGGCACTTTGTTTTTAATTTCCAATTGTAAAGTCATCGCCAATAAAAGAACACCCCTTTTTGGGACTTTGTTTCAAGAGGTTTGTCCCTTACACAATCGTCTGATCCCTTTTAATTGTTAGCGACTAACCCGCGCGAAATACAATCATATTTGACTTCTTCTCTCACAAGTGGATCCCACTTTTCTCTTAACGGTCAAAAAGCTAATTCTCAAAATTACTCCCAAATAGACACAAATTACCCAACATTACAATAAAAATCAAATCATAAGATCACAAAAACCTAAATACCCAAATACCCTTGAGGCTGCCGCGTCAAGGGTTCGAATCCTGAAATATGGATTTGGCTCTTGGGTAAGTGCAAGTGTACAAGCAGCCTTCTACCCTGTACCCTTGAAGACATAACCTGCGATTTACCTCCCTCACGATACTCCAGGGTAGGGGCGGTGGGGGACCCTCAATGTTGGGGTTCAATCTTTTTTATAAAACAAGCATCATAGCTCCTAGAAGTACATGAACAGCCTAATTTTATAGGTCATCTTCATCACTCACACCGACAGAAACAACAAAAAGGTTAGATCTAGTAGCACCGGCACTCATCTTAGCAAATCGAAATTTAGTCTCGAACCCTTTGGATTACTGCAACGTTTGTGTAAATGCTTGATAATTGCAAATGTTAGCATCACTCCTCCATGCATACTTCATTGATTCCTCAAAATCAGAAGGTTTAATTTCAACGACTTTATCTTTGTTGCTAACCTCTTAGGTCACAATGCGATTTTTCGGCAATATCGTTACTCACGGTGACATTGTTATCGCTGTAGCGACGAGCCTAAGGCGGTCTCCAGTGATGAGAGATGTGAAAGAAGGGAAGAACTTGTGGCTACATGAATGAGAGAGAGAGAGAGAGAGAGAGAGATAATTTTAGATGCCTGATTTATGCTTAAGTAAATTTTATACCTGATTTTAAAGTTGTCATTTTCAAATACCTGTTATGGTGCAATTTCCACTTGGAAAAATGAGGCCGAACTGGGACATTGACTAATAAAGGATTTTGTAAGATGGGCTATCATCCTCGTCTTATTTTTCATTGGTAGGAAGCCTAGTGGGCTACAAATTGGATAATGGAAAATCGACCCAATTGGGCCCAGGTGGAGCCCAAAAAAGATAAGGACTTTCAAGTTTCAACCCACCTTTTATGACTTTCCAGGTCAATTGCAAGTAGGGGCCTAAAGAAACTGATAAATACATTTCTTCCCTCCTTTTTCATTCAATTTTCATCTTTGAGGGATATGGTAGAAATCATAGTTTTCATTTTAATACTCGTGGTTGAGATAGAATTGCAACATAATGCAAGTAATGACAAATACAAGAAAATTCATGTCTAAGAATTATTATATTCTGTTGAAAGAATGGGGACATGATGGGAAGTGGATTCTCAACAAACATGACACCTAGCACCATCACAAAAGAATGTCTTTAGCAATCATCTCTTCCATTTGTTCTCATCTTTCACTAAATAATTCTCCATGCATACAATGTAAAAGTCGAGTTTTATTGAAATGATTGTTATACTTGATATGAAAGCATGTATTTTTGTTGAGGAACTCACATTGCAGACAGGAGAATACGTGGAAGGCTACTTTGGGTAGAAAATTGATTTCGTGAAATCGTTCGCTGTGAAAGAAGGGTTGTCCAGACATCGATTTTGAAGAGGGATGGAATGTGACAATGTAATTGTGTTTCACCTCACTCGTACAAAGTTTGCTATAAGTATTTTGAGAACCATTCCTTTACAAGACCATTTTATGGATAAGTTCAACTCAAAGTAATTGTTACGTAAACCTCCTTCTATTAACTAGGTACATCATTTTTAAGATCACACGTCTTACTTCTACATGTCGGGATAGTCTTAAAATGTGACTTACACCATCACAAAAATTATTATTTTTCCTTTTTCCTTATCCTATCCAAAAGATAAAATAAAAGCAAATAGTAGAAGATAATAGCTTTTGGTAGGAGGCCACATTTTGTGTGTCGGAAGAGATTCCTTTTCTTATTACGAAAATATGTTTTTTATTCTTTGACAAGTTATCTCAACCTAGCTAAAGAGACGTAAAGTTAGTCTTTCAAAAGGATCAATACGAATCGCTCATACAATTTTTGACTGGCGAATTAGAACGGACTTGAAAATGCAAAAAGAAGGTTGGCCCCCACCCCACCACTGCATTGGACCTACACGATTCAAGACCTCTACTTTAACCATACAAATTTATATTTAAAGGTTGAATCCCAACCTTAAGGGTCCTCCACCCCTCCTTTCTTGAAGTATCGCGAGAGAGGTTAATCGCGGAATGTATCCCAACAGGTCAGGAAACAAAAAAATTTTGTACACTAGTGCCCACAAAGAGTCTCAATCCAAGTTTTAGGAATCGAACCTTCACACTTCGGCAACCAACAAGACTGAGTATATTTCACTCTTATCCTTTGCACAATTGAGATATGTCCCAGAGGGAAAAATTTATATTTATTAGTACGTAATACTGTGTATTCAATCGACTAAAAACATGTACTCAAAATGGTAAGAAAAAAGGTATCCCGTCAATATTTTAAATGGGCCAAAATGGCATTAATGCCAATATACCTTGCAGTCCCCACCACACCACATCTGATTCCACAAAGAAAATTGACATCTTTCTATTTATTTTCAAGTATGAAGTTAAATAATTTATCATAGCCAAAGTTCCTCCAACATTCAATGAAGCAAATATCAATCCGTAATCTATTATAATACAACAATCATAATCGATGTTAGAATGCTATTTCCGAGCAAGAATTTGCTAAACTTTAGAAGCGATAGTATTTGGATAGTCATTTGTCAAATTAGTTAGACGACTCGTTCCATTGATTACTCCACTTGAAAGCTCTGTCCCAACTAGTTTTGTATTTCCCCGTTTGGTAGTAATTAAAATTTAGATTTTAATCTAAATTAAAGTCGAAAATTAATTTCAACCACATATTTTATGAGATCCACAACTTTTCAATTACACATTCAATCAGCTTTTGTCAAAATTTACTAAAAATTTGATTTTAATTTCCACCAAACTTTACTTACATTACTACAATTTTTTTTTGTAGATGAGCATAAAAGTTATCAATTGTTAAGCACAAAGTTTAAGATTGTGGCAACGCAACACAATTCTCTTGCAAAAGAATGTCTTCGATCGTAACATGTCAAATAGTTGCACATTGGCTCCAAACTATCGATCTAATTATATCTTGTTGAGTTTGTTATTTAAAAACGATACTAAAAGAGATCGTATACTGAAAACTCAACTCTCAATCTAATATATACTTGTTTGTATATTTTTTTCTTGTTGAAATTATTATACAATTTCAATTATTATCTGGAAAAGAATGATCATATTTCGTCTAGATTTATTTGAAATTCAATAGTGGTAATAATGGAGTGGTGGGACGAAATTTGATTTTGGCTGATTATTGAGAGGCTGTCATACGTCATTTGCATGAGAGAATGTTTTGGCTGCTTCCCACTGTTACGTTGGTGCTCTTCTCCACACAATTCCCACCCATTTTTTAATTATTAACACCAAATTCAATCATATGATGTGATATATCGATTTCCTTCTTCATCAATCCACTCAACAAAAATACAATCTCAATTTCACCAAATAATTCAAAGATACTATGTAGATAAGTGATGATCACTACTCGTATCTTCCAGTATTTACATGACGAACTATATTATTATTTAAAGTTATTGAAAATAAAATAAATTCTTACTCTAGAAGAAGGATTTCATTAGTCACATTTGTCTTCCTGATTCATCACATAAGAAAGGGGAAAAATAAGAATACGATATTTGTCGAATATCACATGTCGATTAACTCTAATGTTATTTGACACTCGATTGAAAGGTGGGAGTTAGCAATCCTAATTGAGAGAGGATCCATGATAGTTACTAGGCCAACATAACACTCTTTGGTTCTTTTTTAAGTAATTAGTTTGTATTTACTTAGTAGATATTTGATACTTACAACTGCTCCTCCAGAATGGCTGGTAATACCACTTAAGGGCGGATAGACCGTCCACCCAGTTCCGCTACCCACTTCTACTAAGGCTGAGCTTAATAAGCAGCAGGTAGTCATGCTGGGGGTTTGGGGACCGCAGCCCCCCATGTAAGCAGTAACCATGTTCTCGTGGCCGTGCCTTTCTTATTGATTTGGTAGAGACGGCTCTTTCTTTCCGCCTAAGAGAATCGCGAGTTTACTCGGAGCAGGCTTCCCAAAAGCCTTACAGCAAAGGTAGGTAATCCTCTTCTTTTAATTAGCCTCAAGGGAGTAATTCTATGTAACACATGCCTACATACATTTCATTCATGCCATACGGTCTGTTTTGCAGAACATAAATTTTGCTTCTTAAATTTGACCTAAAAGATTCTACATATTCAATGCTCTGTAGGGACTGGGAATGTCAAGCAGTCAAAAAAGAGGGGTGAATCTGTAATTTTGCTTTGATTATACTTGTAAGATTTATTTCTACTGTAGATATACATTAATACAATCCCTTCTGTATGAAACTGACGAAAAATTTAGCCCTTAAGGGTATGTATATATCTATCTATTTATGCATGCAAATTTACTGTACTATGAAATAACTCATAATGAGTGTGTTTTGTTTCTTTGTGGGATGTTTTTGGTTCTTGCTGGTAATCAAGTTGGAAGCTTTTTGGTTGGACCTCTACCTCTGCCTCTACCTCTACCTCTACCCCTACCCTACCCCCAGCCTGAATTACTCTTTTTAAAGGTGAAGGCTTATAGATTAAAAGCTGATTCAAAGTGCCTTTCCATTATTTTTTCTACCATTCTTCCATCATTCATCTTTCGAATTTTTTTTGCAGTTGAGACTGATTTTATATATATAGTTCCAATGTTAAGAAACTGTCCCTCTTCTTCTTCCCAGCCATTTGCTGCAGATAATGGAAACTTTAGTAAAAGAAAACGAAGGCCAGCAGGAACCCCAGGTACAGTTCAAGATTCAGTTTTGTTCATACAGTAATATATTTTTGATAACTTTTTCCGTGTTAATTATAAGTGCAATGAATTATGTGTTATGAGTAGATCCAGATGCAGAAGTAGTATCTTTATCTCCCAAGACCTTATTGGAATCGGACCGATACGTTTGCGAGATCTGCAGTCAAGGATTTCAGAGAGACCAGAACTTGCAGATGCATAGAAGAAGGCACAAGGTGCCATGGAAGCTGCAAAAGAGCGAAACTCCGATTGTGAGAAAGCGCGTTTTCGTGTGCCCAGAACTTACTTGCCTTCACCATGATCCTTGCCACGCACTGGGTGATCTTGTGGGAATTAAGAAACATTTTAGAAGAAAACACAGCAATTATAAGCATTGGGTTTGTGAGAAATGCTCAAAAGGATATGCTGTTCAATCAGATTATAAGGCTCATCTCAAAACATGTGGAACTAGAGGCCATTCTTGTGACTGTGGCCGTGTTTTCTCAAGGTACATAAGAAAAGAATCAGTAGAAACAACGTAGACGATCCCATCTAAATCGCTCTTAGTTAGCTCCCTCATCATTTACCCTTGTCACTCCTTTCAAGATTTTATCTGCAGAATGCAGAATGTTTGTTCCATTTTCGTAAAATCAGTAGACATCCAAGAAATAAAGCATGTGAAATGACAATAAACTAGGTTTTGACTGACGTGGGCTTCAAACAAAGTTCTTTTGGAATCCCGATACTACACATATTCTAGCATCTAACATATTTCTAATATGAACTTGGAAGATCACTTAGACTGCCCCCAAACATCTTACTGGATTTTCCAACTGAAATGGAATATTACTACCAAAATGGAATTGCTTCTCACTTCGGTCAATTAGCAATAATTTTTCTGTGGACTTCCGGACCTCAAGCATACATATTACTTATGTAACGGTGCATTCTTTCTGATAGGGTGGAGAGTTTTATCGAACATCAAGACGCGTGCAGTATGGGGCGGCTCCGATCAGAATCACACGCGTTACAGTCTGCGGCTTGCCTGTCTCGAACAGCTTCAGGCCCCAGCCCGTCCAGCGACACCAATCTCAGTAATGTTGCACCATGGCCTATTTTCATGGCCAATGTTAGCGAAACTAAGAATTCCGAACCCACATTTTTAGAGCTTCAGCTACTAACAAAACCCTGTGAGGATCAGTCGACGCAATTGCAGCTGTCCATTGGCTCATCAGAAGTCAGTGAGAGAAACGAAATTGATATCGCGAATATAAACAGATTTTCTCCAAGGGAGAGTGACGCTGGTGAGAAACTGCCGAGAGTTGAAGAACAAATAAGAATAGCCATGGTGGAGAAAGCATACGCCGAAGAGGCAAGAATACAAGCTAAGCGGCAGAGTGAACTTGCTGAGCATGAATTCGCCAATGCCAAGAGAATTAGGCAACAAGCGAAGGCGGAATTGGAGAAAGCTCAAGCCTTGAAGCAACATGCTATCATGGAAGTCAATTCGACCATTTTACAACTCACTTGCCAATCTTGCAAAGATAAGTACCAAAAGGGAATAACAGAAGCATCGACTCCCTTCGTGAATCCGTTTGGGTTAAGCTACATATCATCTGCTCTTAGAGAAACTACTGATCATCTAACATTTGTTCAACTTTGAATTCTTCAATCTGTTCATGGTAATTAACTTATTTGCATGTTTTGTATTTCCCACATCTATAGACATGTGGTTAGAAGCCTAGTGGGTGTCATCATAAGCCAGGGATGTGTTTATTAATGAGAATCTGTATTCAAAGATTACTAAAAGTTAATTTGGTGTTTATTCGTGCTTAACAATGACTCTTTTAGCTACAAAAATGGCCAAATTGATCCGTTGTGATTTTCCACCAGCTTTTTAAAGCTTGATATTGTTGAAATCATGGGAATGTGAGTTCTCTTAATCTTTTTCTTAAGGAGGCGTAAGGGCCTCGCCCCCAAAATAATTTCACAAAGAGAAACAAAATCAAGAACTGAAACTACATTTCGTGTACTCGTGTCATGCTTCGTATCATCATGCACTTAGCTAGATATTTGGTTGGCTCGTGGTCCTGTCTAAAATATGCTCTGTTGATCTCAGTGTTTGATAGTCCATCGGACAATCTATTTCCCCATTGATATATCCAAACGCATCGCCTGCGTATTCTTGTCTTGTATAGAATGGCATTGTCTTCTCTCTTGATTTTTTGGCAACGGAAGGAAGAATTGCTTCTTGATTTACAGAACACACTTATAAACTCATATAATCCATGTCATGATCCCCTTTATAATTTAAGACACCCTATTTATGGCTATTCGTCTGCAAGATTTTCTTGAATGCAAAGGGGAATAGTGGTAGCATTTGAATATATTATTCAGTGTACCCTAAACTTTCGGTAGAGTTAAGATTTTGTGTTTGGACTATTTCAAGATCTTTGTTGGCTGAGGTGGTCAGAAATTGGAGGTGACCCATTCCTTCCTCTGTGCAGGCCCGGCCAGGCCGGGCAGGCATTAAAAAATTGTACAGTTCTAAAATTATTGCATAAAATGATTTTAGAGAGCGGGAGAATTAATATTTAATAGTCCTTTTCCTCTGCTATTCTGTGCCCATATAAATGCTAATGAAGAACACCATGTTTTTCAGTGCCACAGTTGTAATGGTTGATTCAAGACTTGTCCCATTTCAATACACAGACACAAACAAACTCCATTCAGTAATCAGTACCCATCAGAATAAGTAATGGGGTTGGGGTTGGGGTTGGGGTGGGGTAGGTATGTAAGTTCACTCAAATAACAATAGTTTGAAAATCAAACTATTGATATAACGAAGTCACAACTTATTTTCATTCTTTTATGTACTCGACGTTAGAGGGTGTCGTGACTTGACTGATTTGAAATTTAAGATATCGTGATTTGAACAAACAACAAGTAATCATCCCGTTATATGTGTGTTTGGATAGTTCGTGGAGTGGGGTAGGACAGGGGGTATAGGCATCTTTCTGCATATGAAGAGACCATTCAAGTCTGAGAGTTTGAAGAGCAAAACTTGAAAAAACAGTGTGTAGTTGCTGTTTTCTTTACTGACTTTTCATAACGGGAAAAAGGCCAATCCAACCCAAAAGAAATATTTCACTTAGGACCACACCATTTTCTTTGCTTATTTAACACCTGTGTTTCTTGGTACACATAAATCACTGCACAAAGATTCTTGAGTTTGACACTTCCGTTTACATTTTCTAAAAAAAGGTGAACCCCGGGCTCACACCGCCCCGCCTTGCCCCTAGAACTTTGTGAAGGAGGTAAATCGCGGGATGTGTCCCAACAGATCAAGAAAGAAGAGCTGTATGTACACTTCGCCTATAAAGAGTCAAATTCTATGTCTCAGGAATCGAACCCTTACACTGTAGCTATCAGCAAGGCGTGAGATAACCTCATTCTTATCCTTTGTACCATTGCACTATGCCCGGGGGCATCCGTTTACATTTTCTGCTTTCAAGGAAAAGTGTTCTGAATCTTGGATCCATATTAATTTGTTTTAAGTAATATTAAAGAATATTAGGATAGGGCTCCATAATATTTTAATCCTATGTTCGACTATGCTAACTTATAAGTTTATTTTTATCAATATTATTTCTCCTATGAAGTTCCTAACACTGGACAGAAGCTAAGCATTGTGAATTTGGCTTCTAACATCTAAAATTGAAGTTCTGAGTCCCATCTAACGGAAACCAACTGAATGAAAGTCACATTAAATTCGTGAATCTAGATTCTTGAGTTAAATCTTTATAGCTTTGTCTTCTTGTTTTAAATCCCACGAAAATTGGATGCAATTTTAATAGCGATAGACGATTTTCATCGTTGCCGATATCTAAATTCACATATTTATCTCCCGTTTAATGCCCATTATTTCTTCAAAATGAGTTTTGTAATATTGAATTTTTTGAAATTGTGTGATTAAAAATTAGAAAAATGTTTTGAATTTACGTGCAAAATATTTTTTATTTCGAGAATGTATAATTAAAATTAAGTTTGATGTGTTTAAAAAAAAAATTAGAATTAAACAATGACTTAAATATTTTGGGAGACTCATAACTTCACTTAGAAGCTTGAGGAGCCAAAACCATCCTAAGCTAATATTTCCAATTTCAAAGTAACAATCTCGTTATGATGCATATGTGAATTGGTGTAAATTTGTGTGTACTGCTCAGGCTTATGATTGGCTTGTTAAGAGGATTGATCATAACGATTTTGTCATAAATCAATGTATACTTATATGCGATTCAGGTTGTGTTATCGAAACTCATGGCTCATACAATCTTGCTCGTGTGGGTCTTATTTATATATATATATATTCTTGTTTCCAGATAATTCAATGGAAAAAGAAAAATATCTTAAAAGAAGTTAATGGATTCGATGGTGAACTTAGTCTGTTTTGGTTGACATGTTATCAATTTGGTTATGTTGTCGTAGTAAAGTTACAAAAATTGAGTAATACTCATGGATGGAAGTTGCATTTATTTGATTAAATATTAGATAACTCCATGATATATATCGATTCTTGTTTGTAAAATATGCATTATATAACTAAATCATAATTTCGCTTGATACGTTTCTCAAAATTGTAATATTAGAATTTAGAACTGAAGTTTGTGAAAAAATATAACTAAGAAGATTTGTAGAAAAATGAGGCCTACATTTTTATGAATAAAGATTGTAAGTCTTACTTACTTCTCCTAATGAAAAGTTGAAGTATGCTGGACCTAAGCTCTCGTTTGCCCGTCATTAAATTCCATTTCATTTTTCTCTCTTCTATTTTCAACTATATAATCTTTCATAAAATAATATTACACGTAAGTCGAAAACTTTTTATTCTTTTTTAACCACTCATTTTTCAAAAAAAATATTATTCTACTCATTTTCAATTTCTGAAAATGGGCGTCAAACGGGGGCTAAGTGTCTTCCAAGAAGAAATTTGTGAATAAAGGGTAAGTGATCATGTGGTGATGTATGGGAAGTTTTTTGACTTTTAAAAAGCATTAAAAGAGAATGTAGCCTTTTTGAATATCATTAACTATTAATTGACATTAGTAGTTAAATAATTTCATCTGATGGGGCAGATGAATTAATTACAGAAGTAAATTGACTCACAAAAAGAATAAAAATAGGGAAAATTGCAGCCGGGATCTCTAACCTTGGCAAAAAGTGAAAACGAGGTCCGAAGCTTTATTTTTGGCACTACTATCCCGAACCTTTGTGTGAATTATAGTTAGCTAGAATTTAGTAGTGTAAATGAGTAAATACATCATTTCTATTAAAATAATTAAAAAGAAATAAGTATACGGAAAAGATAATTAAAAAAAAGAAGAAGAAAATTGCCTTCTTCACCAACACCAACACCAACACCAACACCATGGCACCCGGTCTAAGAACATTTCCAGAAGCCCTTGTGATTCAGATTATTGATATTTTACGATTCAAAAGAAAAAAAAATGATAATACTATAAAATTGAAAAATAGTTAGAATCTCGTTATTGAATCCTAACGATCGAGAGAGTCTCGTGTAATGAAGTCCAGAGTGTATAATTGCACGTTTTGCTTCATCTGGAAAGGAGCCTTTTTTATCGTTTCGATTGGATGTTTTGACCCGTGGATTACTTTTTAGGAAGTGAAACCTTCTCTTTTTGGATTTAAAGAAAAGATGTGTACCACTTTCAATTCCACCCCACGCACATGCTATGTTCTTTCACTTTATCACAAATTATTGCCCAAAGAAAACTCTTTCCAAATATTTTTCATATATAGCTCGAAATTGATTGATAATGAATAAATAAAGTAATTCTAAACTTAAATTTATTTTATAGAATATGTATTTGTTGATTTAATACACTTCTACGATCTTTACTTGCATACATCAATGACGTGTTTTGTGTAGTGTGTTCATAATTAAATAATATAATTAATAAATTTTGTTATAAGTCTCTCTAATTTTTAATCTCGTCTAATTTTATCCAACATAAATGAATATCGTCCGAAAACCTCCCAATATTAATTATATGATAAAATATTCATTTTAAGCCATACATGAACTTCAATAACTTGTATAGATCAACCTTAACATCCAATTATAGGGAAGATAAATTATAAATCATTATAATATAGGTTGTACTAGATTTCGAGTTCAATTATATTTCGGGCTGTTTTCTAATCTTCCCTTTTTTTGTGGATCATGTAACTAGAGTAATGTAATTATATATCAAAATTAAGATTCCGAAATTATTGGACATCATCTTCTTAATACACTAATTATTAGGTTTTCTTGTGGGATAATGTTAGAAGAGCAGATAAAAAGCACTTAAACAAGATTCAAACTTAGCCGTTGTGAAAACAACGGGCCTTTTCCACTCGAATCAGACAAACAAAGAAGAGAATCCCGTTAAGTTCTTACGCTTTCATGTCTACAACTCAATTCAGTTTATTGGCAAGCTTAGAAAAGCGAGTTGGGAAGAGAGCTGATATGAGGAAGGAACATTTAGGGGCACTAAGTATTCCCTGTTTGCTCAGATGCGTCAATCCGCCTATCAGTATCCTTTTCATGGAAACTGAAATCTTTCAAGCAAGCAGTCGTCATAGTAATTCTTCACCGAATTTGTCCACTTCATGAGTGTCTTCCTCTGTATATAGAGATCAAAGACTTTTGAGAACTTATTGTTACCCCCAATCCACCCAAAGCAGATTCAAAGCTAAAAGACTGCCATGCAATTCTTTGTAGATCCTTGATCACTATGTGAATGTCAATTTAAAGTAACTTTTTGTTTATT